TACCCCACTGCAGTGAATCATGCTGCTCTGCCCCTGGGTGAGGCTGGCTGACAGCCACTCTTGGCTCTGCCACTGCAAACCGACCCCATTGCCAGACGCAGCCAGGGTTGCTGTGGGTTGATCAATCCACCCTTGGCACTGTATTGGAGAGCCACATAAAGGTGCCAGCTTAACATGGCTTTGTCCTCTCAGAGTGATACCCACCACGCTGAAATCAGCAAGTGGGAGCAGGAAAAATGCATGTGCAGGTAATTAGTAACAATCACAGGCTGCTTGGAAACTGCTGACGACAGCAGTAATGAACTGGGCACATGTCATTGGCTTGTAAATGGAGAGAACACTTAAGGACTGTGGCAGCACACAGTGATGGAAGGGATTTCTTTAAACTTAATATTTAATGTGGTATAAAATTGATGCAGAGAAAGCGAGTGGTTCTTTAATCAGATATATTTGGCTGGTGGTCCATAATACAACAGAGTTGGTGGCTGAAGCAATACTGAGAGCTGTCACTAAATTTTTCCTTAGCAGCAAGTATTAGCCTGAATGCCAATGTTTCAGCAATCCTTTGGTTTTCAAGAACCATTCCAAATGTTTGGATATGCCAGCTAGCTAAGAGAGAGAAATTTTACATTTTCTATCCACAACTGCATAGAAGATCTTTGTCATCTCAAACCTTTGCCGGCTACATCACAGCCTGGCAACAAGAACAACAAAAAACTGTAATCGTAGTTCACTCAAGACCTCTGTTCTCAGACTTATTTCCATTATATTCTTTTACAGTCTGTCTTACAGATTTAAGACTGACAAGATGAAGTAGACTTAGTTCTCTTAGCGTATGGCAGCTCAGACTGCTCCAGACTTTCTCATAAAAACTGCCTTGAATAGCAGATATAGTTATCGAAAGGACATAAGTGTTCTTGGCTCAAACTCCTGCTTTTCATATTTCAAGTTACTTACCCACCTTTCAGCCTTACCAATAGCCTTATTCTTTATTGAAGCATCATGCAGTCGTGTTCACAGCTTTGCTTCACACACACCAGAAGAGTTCCTGGTACAAGTGACACAGTTGCTCTGGATACCACAACTCATTTGCCAATGTTTTAAGCAGCTCTAGGTCTTATGACAGTGAAGCTTTTACAAAAGTGTTTATAATCTGGAATGTCAACTGAGAAGTGAGGTCAGTCTCAAGGCATTAGCAACACCAGATACAGACTTTGATCATTTTGTGGACTTTTATCCAACTAACTCTCACTTTTTTACCTGAAAACACATTATCTAGCATGACTAAAACATGTTGTCCCCCAGGGCCTTTAGTCTCCTTCTCTGAGTTTGATCAGATAAATCACAGCCTTTCTGGAACAAGGAAGAGTGGAAACACTCAAAAAAGGGTGAAGAAATTAAAAGCAATGCAACTTCCTGAATCTCAAGAGAAGACCAGAGATCAGGTTGGCCCCTCCTCCTCCAATGACAAGCAGTTCACAAATGAAATGCCATCACAGATCTGCAAGACTTGGACTCTGGATGGCCAGACTGAGGGTGACCCAGAACCAGGGGCTGGCTCTGGCAAGACTTCTCTCATGAACCAGGGTATGACCACTGAAGTAGGTCAGCTGATACAAAGCTGACCGTCCTCCAGAGGTTGCTGCCTTATCGATTACCTACCTCTACCCACCCAGCCCAGCCCTAGAATGCTAAACCACCACTGAATTTTATCACAGCTTTAGTCAGACAACAGACAACTAAAAAAACTCTGAGAAGGCAGAGTAGGTAGTGTGTTTGCAGACATTTCTTGGACCTTGCACTCGTAACCGCCATTGTGCACCATTTCCCAGTTCCTGATTTTCAGAGGTACTTATCACAGATGAAAGTCCTGTGGCAATACACAGCTTGTGGTTACAATGGAAATAGGGTCAATAAAAGTGTATCCTTTTCCAAATCCCTTATCCTACTGAGGAAATAGGCTGGGAAAAGAGCTGTGACTGAAGAAATGAGTTAATTTTGGGGAGAAAATAGAGAAGTCTGTCCAGAACTAAAGTGAGAAATGCATCATCAAGCGTGCTATAATGGACACACCTTGCACATTACAAAGCATGGCTTGCTGCTGAAGCCCTCCTGCTCCTGACAGTCTGCACATCCTTTCAGCTCCTCAGGAAAGAATCAGGGCAGGGGGCATGACTTGGGCATATGGTACGTGCCTAGTGCTATACAATCCAGATTGTTATACAGACTTCTGAGCACTTCTAGAGCATATCCAGCACAAAACAATTCCTATGGTTATTTAAAAAGGAGGGAGGATAGCAGCTAGACAGCCTCCTCCAAAAATATATCAAGAGGCATACATTTTAAAAGGATTTTGGTATGCTTGTGTAAATCCAAGTTTTATGAATGCAGATGATAGAAGACTATACAGCACTATCAAACTAAAGATATAAATACCCACTGTCTTGAAAAACATGTTCTGTTGTAGCTCTCACTCTGTCATATTTTAAACCTGATGGCAGCTTTTTTCTAGAGCTGCTGCTCATAAAGTCTGCTCCATGTTTTTGAGGACAACTAGCAAATTTAACATTTGGAACTTTTGTTCAAGTGTAGGTAACACCACAGGGACAACCTCTATAAAATCAATACTAAGCTCCGCAGTATCACCTCTGTAGTTGGTTTTGCTCTAATAAATGATCAGCTAGCTCACCACATTCTAAGGAGGTAGCAACTAGAGACACGCGAGAAGTGCTTAAACAAGTGTAAAAGAAGAAGTGCTGCTGATGTACCAGCCAAAACAACAGCTCTTGGCTGAACCTCATTTTGGCCAGGTGCAGATCCTGGATGGGCAGTTCCTTAGAAGACAACAGAAGGGAGGGAGCATTCAGTTTCTCTATTATCATCTTGGTTTCCTAACTTTGGCCCATGATAATGTAGCTCAGTTATCTCCTGCTACTTTGCCTCCCCCCAAGGACACAGCTCCCGTCAGCTCCCACTGCGCACTGTGGACACTCCCAGGCGGGAGATGCCCGCAGTACCTGCTCATGCAGTTAGAGGTGCTATCAGGCTGCACAAATGTCTAACAGGGCACAAGGTTTGTCATGGGACAAACACTCAGGAGAAGGAACTAAAAGGCAGCAGAATGCCCATGATGGCCTGAGACAGCCTGGGTCTTCTGCAATGAGCAGCACTTCAGGCTTCAAATTAAAATGCAGGGAATCATAGAATCATTTAAGCTGGAGTTCTGCAGCAGATAAGTGAGAATAAATTGCCTGAGGAGAAATTACTTTTTAACTTTCATAGGTTGTATGAGTGACTTATGACGACCAGCATGACGATTCATGTTTCTTCTTACATATTCCTTTCAGTTTCCTTCTATTCTATGATTCTATAAACAGCACAGACTCATAGAATCATAGAGTGAATTGCATTGGAAAAGTTCTCTAGTTCCACCCCCTTGCATGGACAGGAACACCTTCCACTGGACCAGGTTACTCCAAGCCCTGTCCAATGTGACCTTGAACACCTCCAGGGATGGGGCATCTACAACCTCTCTGGGCAACTTGTGCCAGTGCCTCATCACCCTCACAGTAAAGAATTTTTCCCAATATCTAATCTAAACCTATTCTCTTTCAGTTTAAATCCATTTTCCTTTGTCACTCCAGGCCCTTGCAAATAGTCTCTCTCTAGCTGTCTTGTAGGCTCCCTTTAGTTACTGGAAGACTGCAGTTAGGTCATATTGAAGCTTCCCTTCTGCAGGCTGAACAATCCTAATTCTCTCAACCTTTCCTTACAGAAGAGGTGCTCCATCCTTTTAATCAACTTGATGGCCTCCTCTGGACTCACTCCAACAGGTCCATGTCCTTCCCATGCTGGGGCCCCAGAGCTGGAGGCAGCACTGCAGGTGGGGTCTCACCTGAGTGGGGCAGAGGAACAGAATCCCCCCACCCTTACCTGCTGCCCACACTATGGGATCAGCCCAGGACACAGGGGGTTTCTGTGCTGCCAGCACATATGACCACGCCATGTCCAGCCTCTCCCCCCGCAGCATCCCCAGGTCCTCCTCCTCAGGGCTTCTCTCAATCTGCTCATCCCCAGCCTGGATCGATCCCGAGGGCTGCCCTGACCCAGGTGAGCGCCAGCACCTGGCCTTGTTAAACTGCATGAGATTCCCATGGGCCACTTCTTGAGCTTGTCCAGGTTCCTCTGGATGGCTCTGTCCTTTAGGTATGTCACCTGCACCCTCAGCTTGGTGTCAATTGGTGAAGATGCCTTCGATCCCTTTGTCTACGTTATTAATGAAGATATTAAATAACACTGATATTGATAATGATTGATAATGAAGATATTAAATAAAACTGATCCCAGTACAGACCTATGAAAGACATAAATATATCTGTATCAATGCTCTATCTCCTTATCTCATATAAGCCACATACATCTCCAGGAGTCCCTCGTTCTGTCCATCCATCCCTAGGTCACACTGACAACTGAAGGGTCCCCAGACACCTTTCTTACCTATGAGTCCACCACTAAAACCACCCACCCAGTACCAAAGACGTATTAAAATAAGTCTCCCCATTGCCACTTCAAGATACATATGATTTTTTTAATACTTCTTCTAACTCCCTTATTTCTTTTGAATCTTCCTAAACTTTTGCTGAGAAAAGCCAAAGGCTAATGTTGTATTGGGGTAAAACAATTCTCTAACAATTGTTTTCAAAACTGCTCCTGTCCTAGATGAGACTGTAGGGCTTTAAAGATACAGAAATACTACACGAAAAACAGTATCATCTTCCCTTGTAGCAACAAAATAAAGAATTGCATGCAATCTTTGGCAAAACAGAAAAAAATCCAATAAAATTTGCACAAGTTAGACACAGCAGTAACACACAGAGGTAACATTTATATTAAACACAGAGCCTTACATTTTCAAATTCCTCATCTTTTCTGATTTGCACAATTCATTTGGGACACAATTTAATCATTTTCTTACCATTTGGCCAAACTCCTTCCAAGCAGTGTGGTCAGCCCCAAATAACTACGTAACCAAAGCATTTATCAATCTCTGTTTCTTAACTCTTGCCATATGTCTGCTGAACAAAAGCAGATGATGTGTTGTTCCCTGGATAAACAGCCTTTGCTTTTCATTTAAATGTTTAGCCTTATTGCATAGTTACAACTCTAGAAATGGTACAAAACATGAGCATTTGTAGGAATTAATAGCAGCCAAAATTCACATTTGTTTGAACTGTCATAAAAACCTTGTCCACTCAAACACACCAGGCGTATTTATGAAAAATGAGCACCAAAGCCCAAAGGCAGAGGCAAGCATTCTGCTTTTTGGTGACACAGTGGTACTCAGGATGCAGGTTTGGAGTAGAGGGGCACAGCCTTGGAGTGAAGGGATGGATACATCATTTGTTGGCTACAAGCAAACACAAATGATTTACACAAGACTTTCAATTGACTTTCAATAGAGCTGCTCTGAAACCACATTTTAAAATAGACTTTTGAGAAAATGACTCCACATCTGACACAATTATTCCATAAAGGGCCTCTCCCTACAATATGCAGGCATAGACAATTCATGTCACTTATCGGTGTTAGAAAATTGCTTACCTGTAACTATAGGATAGGACTGAGGACCAGGAACACTCGCTCCCAAATCTGCAGAAGTAGGGCTGGTTATATTTGCCTTCATGTCATCCAATCCACTAGCTAGTGAGGCCATGGCTGAGTATTCAGTTGCCTGGAAAAAGAAACAAAAGGCATTTTAGTGATAATAAATTTGCTATTCAAGAGCTTTTACCTGTGCGACAGAAAGTAGGTGCAATATAGAACTCAAAAATCCTTTGTTCTGCCAGTTTTAAAGGCAATGCCCAGTTAAATGGGGCTTTCAGCACTCAGTCTGCTCAATAAGTGGGTTGGTGCTTATCACCACTGTTCTTGGAGAACACTAAAACGGGCTTTCTTTATAAAACAAAAGCCAAACTCATCAATGTGTAACAAGATTTTCTTGAAGGTGGAAATTTTGTAGAATAACTGTCAAGTGCAAGTTACTTGCTTGTTAGAGAAAAATGTCCTTGCCTGTTAACCTGAACTCTCCATATTTCAGTGGTGGCACTTGAGTGGACATGCACTAACAAGAAGGGAGGAATGGTGTATCCCATTTCCCCCCTTTTCTTGGGAATGTCACATTTCTTCATCGTTTCACAAGAAAGTGCACATACATATTAATGTTTGCTTAATGGATGCATTCATAGCCAACTGTTCCTAAATTGAAATTATTTAGAAATAAATCACCTGACTGTAGTAAGGACGCTGTCTCATTTCAAGGGAATTTCTTAATTTCATTAGCCAAAGGTATTGTAAATGAGCACAGGTCCCAAGAAATTAGACCATTTGTGTCCCGTAACCTGTGTAAGTCCTGCAGCTACAGCAATCTACAGTCAGTTTGGAGGATATACATGTATATGGCACAAAGCTTATCTTCATTTGCCTTATTTCCATGACTTCTTATAGTCAGGATCATTCTCACAAAACTGGGAAGTTTCCTCATAAAGTTCTCCCTTCCCTGCTCCTATCTGCCCTTTAAGTTTTAATCTCTTATTTGTGAGATGGCAATCATGCCCATAACAAGTGGAGGATGATAATTTCAAACTAAGAATGGCAATAGGAACAGATAAACTAAAGAGCAACCACTGTGAGGCCAATCCCTGCTGAATTCCTGAAGATTAAGTCAATGCAGAAGCTGCACAGAGGTGAAGAAATGCTGGGGAAACCAGGATCACGTGGGGGTTTTTTTAAGTGACCAAAACAAAAATCAGAGTATCACAGAATCCTAGACGGGTTTGTGTGGGAAGGGACCTTAAAGACAATCTTATTCCACCCCCTACCATGGACAGGAACACCTTCCACTACACCAGGTTGCTCAAAGTCCTATCCAACTTGGCCTTGAACACTTCCAGGGATGGGACATCCATAAAAGTTAACTTTTTTTTCAAGGAAACAAAATCTGGTCTGAGTGAATACATCCTCTTGCAAGTTTGTCCAAGAACCCAGCACACAATCTGGTGCTTGCCACTAACACAACACTTTGGGTCAAATATACCTGTTAATGTCTCTGTTGCCCACCTCTCACTCAAACAGAAGTTAATTTACCTGGATAATTATGTATTAGCAGGTCTGTGTAATAAACATGTATTTTCTGGAGTACAGTCTGACACCTTGAAGGCTCCCCTGTATAAATCCCTTGCAGATGTGTGTGCCAAATGCATTTTGCGAGGGACTAGCCCCTGGCCACCCTTGTCCTGCACCCAGCCCATGGATCAGAGTCCTCTGACTCATCTTGTAGGCTCCTCCCTAACCTTTGCATTAAAGCTGTCCTGTTCCTCAGTCCTTTTAGCTCATTCCTTCTCTGACACCCTCCATACCCTCATGTTTGCCTTGCCTTCACGCACCCAGCCCCTTTCATCTGCCACGACTGCCTCAAAGACACCCACACCTCTGTCTCATCCCCCATTTCTGCCCATTGCAGAGGATGGGCCCAGGAGCATCCCTCCTCTGAGGAGGGTGCCAGTGATGGTCCCAGCCTTCCTCCTTCCTACAAGTGCAACCAAAGCTCCTTCTTCTCACTTCACATCACATCAAGGTGCATTTCTCAGTCTTCCAACACCAGTCTGAGCTCTCCTACATCTCCAACCCCACCTTCCCTTATTCAGAGTAAATGCACATGCGGCAACACTGCTGGGTTTTTTCTGTCCACAAGACACCAGACAAACAACAGCCCTGCAGAGGCATTCCAAGCAACTGATGATGCATGAGCATGGATGGGCTGGCAGCACAGCAGAGGAAAAACCTGTCTTTGTGTGCTGCTGTTTGGTATATCTGATATCTGGAAAAGAGCACACACCAATTCCTGGAGAAGGATGCCTGATTTTACCACGTTGTTCTATGAAAGCCACAACCCCACCATATCCAGACTGGAACATCTCTTCGTACTCTCCCATGGGGCACTGATCCACTGCCCCCAGTGAGCAGGGAATGAATGTGGTTTCTCACTTACAAAGTGGGAGCTACAAACTTGTAGTCTGGGAGGAAGCATCCAGCTGGGATGGGACTCTTGCCACAGGCTGGGTCATGCAAGACAACTGGGGTGGTGGTTGCACATCTAAACCCTGCCACCAAAAGCAGTTTTTGGAACTGCTGATCCTTGCACAAACCCAACTGGAACCAGCCTGGGCACCTGCCTGCAAATCTCCAACAATTCCACAGCTTGCTTCCCTTCAAAGGTCCAAGGAAGTGTCATGGGGAAAGCAGGACCAGAGTTAAAAGCTTTAACTGTAATGACCTCAAAACATTATGCCAACGAGCCATGAGCTGGTCCTTCAAGCTCAGAGAGACTAATCAGTTCCAGTGTCAGAAGCAAGCAGTGATCAGGGTGTAGCACACCCTGTCAGAGGTCAGGACAATGGTACCCCATGCTCTTCTGTGTCACTGCACCACAGAGAGTTGGAGCAATGTCAGCGGCACAGCTCCAAACCATGGAACCACATCTGTGGACTGGAGAGACTGGAAGCATTATAGTTGCTGAGCACAGTGTGGAGGGAGAGCCCACAGTCAGGCAGTGCTGTGGTAGGAATGAGAAGGCGTAAGGTAGAGGTGTGCAAAATGGAGATCTGGAGTCCCTCCCTGCTTTTGGTCCAAATAATTTGCTGCAGACAGGAACTGCACCTCTTTTACAATGGCCCAGCAACATTTTCCTAGAGGTAAGAATAGCAAGATTTTTGGGGATTTTCCAGACGCTTTCCAGTGTCCAGATCACTCCTTGAAGCCACCAGCAACTGAACACCAGCAGCCACACAGACCAGGCACCAACCACTCCTCCCAGCACCCAGGTGGAGCAAGTCCAGGCTGAGGGGCAGCCTGAGGTGGCTGCTGACCCCTCTCTGCTTATGCTGTCCCAGTGGAGGACTGATCATCAATATCACATCTACCTCTGCAGTAGCAGTTCCCACTGCACAGCAGAGGGGGTGTGGTCAGGGCCATCAGCAGCAGGCTGGCACAGTGGCTGTGATCAACACTTGGCTGTGGGCGGAGAAGACACACCATTGCCAATGGTGAGAGACTGGGGAGAGGCGACAGTCAGCAGAAGCATCTTTTGGCCCATGAGGAGAGAAGAGCCACAGGTGCAGAGCAGAGGAGCCTTCACCCTAAAACCAGCTAGTTGGTGCTGCCTGCAGCTCTTCTCACCCCCGTGGAGGGGCAAGGGGACCCCAGTACCCCATGAAGAAGCACAAGCCTCTCTGTCACTGTGCCTTCACAATGCTGGGTGTTGACCCACTCCTGAGAGGTAAAGCGATGTCCCCTCTTCCCGCTCCCCCCAGACAGAGCTCTTTCTTTCAGGCACCCCATCCAGAGAGGAGAACCAACCCCAGGGGGAGGCAGTGCTCGTGGAGCAGCCCCTCACCCCATGGCCCCATTGAGACTCTCCTGCCAACTCTTCCCAGGAGCTTCTCCAGCTGGTCAGGGAGGGGCAGCAGAAGGGGTCAGACTTGGCTCCTGCACCAGTGACGTGGCACTGCTGCTGGTGAGGAGCAGCTCAAAATGACGATCATGGTTAGGGGTCCCTCCTCGCGCAGCTGGAAGCCTGACCTTCTGCTTGGTATGTGAAAAAGCAAGAGTCGGGTGTTCAGTACCCTAGAAATTACCTGAAAAATGACTGCCTGCGGTTGTACCACGCACTGTCTCATCAGCATGGAGCACCACTGCCATAGCATGGAGGAGAGAAAACACAAGACATGTGAAACGAGGAATAATATAAAGGAGAGAATGAGAAGCTCAAACTGAAAGGAGGAGCAAGACCAGATCTCCTGTGTCTCCCCTGCCCCGTCCCACTCAGCTCTGGCAGACAAGAGCTGGAGTCTGGCGGAGGATTGGTTGGGGTGGTGAGGAGAGAGGTGGTCTCTGAGCACCTTTGGGCAGCAGCACATGGGCAGCATGGTTTGCACAGTCCCTCCCCACCAGATTTCTCTGCAAAGTGCAAACAGGAAGATTTCTGCTCTGAGTAGATTTTTACATCCACTACCACTACAAAGGCTTTATGTCTAAATACTAACACCCCTGGAGTGGAGAAGTTAATGGGCAGATGGAGGGAAAAGGGGTGCAGGAAGGTTTCAGGATCATTTTCAAACCTGCTGCACTATAGTGAAACAGACAGACAGACCATCACCAGCTTCACCCTGCACTTTTCCTAGCAAAGATGCCGAAGTGTAACCCACTGAAAAGTCAACAGGTACAGAAATTTTCTCTTTGAGATTTATCTGGAATTTTATCCTAAATTGTTATGCAAAGATGGACACACAGTAGAGAACAAGATCATTCCCTGTAACAGCCTGGTTCTAGGGTGCCAATGTGGGAAAATCAGGGAGCTCCCATAAGCTTGGATGAGACCTGCAGCAGCATTGTGACCCAGGTAGTGTGAGACAAATGCATCCCCCTTCTACCCTGTCTCTTTCGCGGGGCACAGACCAGGTACACATCTTGAAGCGATTGCACCAAGCAAAGACAGACAAGAGCTGCCTGCTGCACAGGGCAAGTGGCCACTGAAATGAGCCAGCTGGGGTCCATTGGGACTTGCACATGTTGCTTTTTGCATCTGCTCAGTCTTCCCAATTAAAACACCAGGCAGGCATGAAGTAACACCTCCTGTGCCCTCCTGCCAATGACACAGCTGCCCCCAGGCCCACAACACTGCTCAGGACACAGCAGCAGCAGCACAACAGGGTCTCAGACTGTCAGAAGTCTTGGGGACTCTGGTCTTGGTCTGCCTCCTTACCGACCATGTGCACTGCCTTCCCTGCTGATAGAGATGGTGCACCGAGCACCTTCACTGTCAAAAAAGCCTTGAGGCCCCTGAAAGGCAGAGTGCTGTCCCTCAGGTCACATCCATTACATCCACTGTTCACCCATGATGCCAGCAGCAAGACAGACCTCACACAAATATCTCCAAGTCATTGTGTCTTAATACTTTAAAATTAATCAATAAATAGAGGTAGAAGTGGTACACGCCAGGCAGGCTGTCCAAAGAAACCCCCACCTCAGCTTGACAAAGGGAAAAAATTTGTAACATTAGATATGGTTCGAAGAGTTTAATCCAAAGAAGCTCTAATTAATCTCCCCAGGCTTTGAGAAACCCAGCACCACTTGCAGCTGCACAGGCACTGCTGTTGCTCTGCCTGGAGTTTCAAGGGAATGGAAAATCCATCCTAATGCCCTCCTCCTCAGCCACTCAGGATTTAGATGGGAAAGTCTTCCAAAAAGCTATATATCAAAGTCTCACCACTGCCGCCTGCCAGCCACCCCACCATTTCATAATTTACTTGGCATTCCCTGCACTGTCCACCACTGCCACCAAAACCAATCCTGCTTTGGAGTAAATGCTATTTACACACCTAATTTAGGCCAAACCCCAGTTATTCTTTGATTTCAGCCACGTTGGGATCATTGCTGTCTCACAGAACATGGAAGTTTGGCTTCAGTGGTACAACCTATTTCCCTTGGTTTAAATGGAGTATTTCTGAACCTCCCTTTCACAAAACATATATGTTTATAAAAAATTAGCAGCTGTGCTTCATTTTAGCCCAGATCGAATTAGGATTCATCCCCAGAGATTCCTCTGAAGGCAGTGGGAATTAGCTCATGCACCCTGCCATGAACACATTTACCCTCATACTTCAAAACAACTGACCTGTTTTTGACCCAATCTTCACATTATCTGCATGTGGGAAATGACACATTTTACATTTCCACAGTGCAATTCATAAGTGAGCGCAGTCCTTCTCAGATTTTCTGAAGGGATCCCCAAATCTAATCTAAATGCCTAGAATTTACCTGTTGTTTTTCTTTCATACATATAAATAGCTGCATTTCCATTCATTCTTTGTTTCTCATTTTCATTTTGTTCTAATATCTGCATGTAAATGTCTGAAAATAGCATCTGTAATTGAAGATTATGAAGTATAGCCAGCTCCTGACAGGCTGCTAAGGAAGATGGATTATCCTCATTTTTCTGTAAATTTTGTCAATTTTTGAATTCATAAGCTATCAACACTGATAAAAATGTGACCGCACAGCTGTGTCAAAGTGTACGGCATGGCATCGGTGCAGCTCCTGAGGAGGATGGCTCTCCCCAGCCACCCGGTCAGGGGCAGGCACTGCAGGAATCCTTCCTAACTGCTTGCAGTATCTACATCCCAATCACACCACCCCCTCCACCCTGCCACCCCCCCCCTCCCAATTCAAATAAATAAATAAATTGAAAGTACGCAAATTCTCTGGTGCACCAATTCACATCACAAAGCACAATTTATTATGTGTTCTCCTTTTTTATTTATCCCTAAGTAGTAAACACGATTTCCATTCAGGGGGTTCGTTATGTTCCACTCCTACCAGACAATCACAGCACACTTGAGGCAATTGTTTAGCCTCTTCCTCTCAATTTTCCCATTACTGGGAGTAAGTACTGTTGGGACTCTTTAATAGCCCGACTGCAGCCCATATCAATAACAGATGAGGTTTAATCGTCCAACACAAAAATTATTTAGGCTCAGTAAGGACATTCAATGTCATTTGCATAATGGCATTTCTATCCTGAGCACCTAACCCATCGTGCATAAACAAGGCCCTGGGACCATAAATAATAATAAATCATGACGTCCACACTCCTATTGCTGTAATAGGAGCCTCTCTATGTAGAAATTATTTCAGTAGGAAAGGGGCACTATAATTTTAAAGACATGTGGCATTGCACGGACCAGTAAATCACACCCATGTGCACAATTGTGCACACACACGTGCCAGCAAGGCTGCCTATGGTGAGCAGCAAAACCCCAAGGAGTAGCAGCACAGAAAACTGTCCACACTGAGCACTGGGAATGCTTTTGATTATTGTTCCTTAGGCAGAGGTAGCAGGCTGAACAAAAGCAAGGTCTGTGTGCAGTGCCTGGGCACGTGTCCAATGGACCTGTTAGTCTGGCAGTCCCTGCTTGGCCATTGCTCATGCCCGCTCTCCTTTGACCTCTCCAGGAAGGTCTGGTGGAAAGAGAGCAGAGACCTGCAGATGCTCATGGGTATTTCCCAAGTAAGCCCTTCATGGGCCATTGCAGTCCCCAGTGTCCTCTCCCCCCTCCCCCATTCCAGGTAACTCAGCACTGCCAAGGCCACCACTAAACCATGTCCTCAAGAGCCAAAGTCTTCATCTGGTTTTCAAACAGAAGCTTCCATAGAAAACCATGGCAAGGCCAGCCCAAGGGAGGCAAATGTACACAGCAAACTGAGGTGGCTTTCCAGATTTCAGTCTTGCCTGGCCTCTAACAAGTGTGTGGGTGAACAGAGACAGCAGCACAGTGGCAACAGCTGGCCTCTGCGTCTGCCAGGATTTGCCAGCTTCATCATCGTATATTTGTCCTCAACAGCTCTGTCCTTTCTCAGTATAAACACTGCTCTGTCTCCTCTAGGACATGAAAGAAAAGTATGATTCACCCCAGCCCACACCCACCCCCAACAATACTGCTCAACCCTGCAAAGGCTCTTCCCTGCTGTCTCCATGACAGAACCACCCAGTTCAGTTTACTGAGAAAGGCAGAAACTCCAAGAAAGATTTTATAGGAGCCTGCTCCCAGTGCAACACCACTGCCTGCACAGGCACCTACTCCCCAAAACAGCGTCTCCCTAAGCCCCCTCCAACTTCTCCTCCCCAGTCCTCCTCCTCCTTCCCCTCCCGGGGCAGTCCTCACTAGCTCCTCTCTGGCTTTCCCCACAGACTCACATGGGGTGTTTCTCTTCTCCCCCTCCTTCCCGCCCTCTCCCTCTGTGGCTCCTCTCACCCCAGGACCAAAGGAGCTCTCTCAGCAGCCTCCACCGTCCTACATGCACTGCTGAAAAAAGAGGTACTTCATCAAAATAAAGCGCGAGACATCCAACTGAAACAAAGTGTAACACAACCTGCCCTGGTGGAAAAAACAGTTTGCTTTTTGTAAACCCAGCACATAATTTATGCCTTTATGCCTCTCACTGCCACAAGCCATTGTTAAAATGCACTGTTTCTCAGGAGAGGAACTGGACACTTTAACCCTTAACAGTAACAATTTCAGCCAAAGAAGGAGGGAAAAGGTACAATCCTCCATCATGGTGGCTCCACTGCTTCCACTGAAGCACCAACATGGGTGTGAAGAGAAAAAAATACAACACTCAGCATAGTCAAGTATTTCCTTATGGAGAAATACAAAACAGAAATATGAAGGCACACTGAGAATGTTCGTGAGGTTGACAACGATATTGTCCGATCTTCAATCCATCCCACCAACAGTTCTGAACCCTGAGAAGTCTTATGCAAATTTATGATAATAGTTTGGTTTTCTATAATGCTTTCAGATGAACTACCCAAAGACGTTTCACAGATGTCATCTAAGAATCCTATCATATCAGTTTCTGTATGATATTATGCATTGTGTACAATAAACTGGTCTCAAAGTGGCATCCCATGGCAGAATACCAGGGTCCAAGGCTCAGGGACAGCCAAAGCCACTGCAGCCGCCACAGACACAGGAGCACCAAACCTCTACCCAGGGGGAAGCCAGCAGAGAAAGCCAAGGAGATTGTTGGTTTGTGGCATGTTGCAAAGTCCAAGCTGAACAAATTCGTATCAACCCATGAAGTCCTGAATTTCAAAGCTGGACATCAAGCAACACACATGTTTCATTTTCTA